GCAGCCACTTGGGCACCAAAGGGTTTTAGAAATCTATATTTGTCAGATGGCATGTGGTTGAAAGCAATGGAACTTAAAAAGTCCTTGAAATTTCTTAGATTGTGTTTCTCAAAAAATAAAAGATGGTGGAGGTCCCTAGTGGTTGAAGTGACCTTTTCCCTGCATATTTAGGTAGCGTATTAGTCACTTTCTCCTCCTAATTCTATTACAGTATTATTAAAAACATGGAACACTATAATGATTAGGCTTCCTAAAGGTCTCCCTAGCCTGCAGACTAGTTTGTTCCACTGCCCGCCCCCCCAGCAGTAATGGGCTTGCAGTTTTTTTTTCTTTTCTTTTTTACTAGATTCCTTGAGAACCAACAAGTAGCATCTGGTGCAAAAGACCTACATTTAGAAGAACTCTGAACCCAGGGATTGAGAGTATCAAAATGAAATGCAGTTGTCCGTCCTGCTACACAAAAGTCTACCCCCCCAACCTTTATTTATTTCAACATAGTTTGGGATTAAGAGGTAATTATCTTGTTGGTGCTACTTTTGAATAAATGGGAATCAGAAACCTTTGCCTACTCACAGACCCCAAACTTCCTTGCTCAGCCTTAGATTTCCCTGTGGGCCCAGCATTAGAAATCTGGAATGTTGACTTTCATTGTTGTGAAATCCATAAGACATTCTTCAAATTCACTTGTTACTCAGTGCCAATGTTGAGGACGTCAGCTAGCTGTCCTTCAATGCAGGAGAGCAGCACAATTCAGCCCATATTATTTCCACGCTCTCCCTCCTCCCTTTATCTCACCAAAGATAAATAAGCTGTGCAAAATATTGTGCTTTTTCCTTCATCGGTTTTATTTAAGAACAAACCAAAAAGGTCTTATTTCGCCAACTGTACAAGCAAGCTCTTCCCACCCTCATAGCCACATATACAAAATGAAGGGAAACTTGCAGTTCACTTCGCAGAAGTGGCATTGTTCCTGGAAAAAAACAAGCACCATCAATACCAGGCTCCAGTTCTTTCCAGCTGAAGGAAGCAACTGGCATTTACCTGCACTGATAGCTTCAGCCTTTTCCTCTTCTAAAAGTTTTACCAAAAGTACAAAATGATTTTGATTTTCTTCATATTTTGTAAGTTATTCCTACTGAGACAAGAAAAGAAAAAGATACAAAAACAGAATGCTGTCTATCAGGCTTGATGTACTAGCCCAAAGCTACCCTTACAGAGAAGGTGCGTTTGCAGCTACATTACTGTGAGCTGGTTGTTAAATCAAAATGCTATGGTACCCTGAAAGATGCTTACCATCAGCTTAGAGAAAATCAGTGGAGCAATCAGTTTGGTGAGACAATTTTATATAGAGTAAAGTAAAAGCAGACAAAGTTGTCGATAGTTAAAGTAGCCTGAAGATAGCATCAAAGAAATCCAAAAGTAAACTTACTCCTCACTTTTCTCAGACATCCAAGTCATCCATTGGGTACTGCCTATGTGAGAAGTTAAAGATTCAAACATGAAGCCTGGAGGGCCACATAAAAGTTCCTAGGTTGGAAGAAACAATTCCAACTTGCAACAAATTAAGTGCAACAAAATTTTGTTCTCTCTCAGAGCTCACCCACAAGAAGAGCACACCCATTATGTGCATAGCCATTTGCTAGCCATCTGAAAAGTACAAGCCTTTCCCATTTATTCTTCTGTCTTTATTAAGAGCCAAGCATAAGAACCTGATGTCAAGTAGAAATGAGATCCTTAAACTCGTGAACGTTTTCCTCGCCTTCCCCACAATAATACCAAAGAAGCCTGTTAACCTTTTCTTCTCATTTACAGCTTATCTTTCCAATGTTTCCTTCCAGCCATGAAGTTGTGAACCAGGGAGACAGGTTGCAAACATGGTTGTTTCCCAATGGTGTGTACTACTTCAATCATTGTATTTCCAAACTATGACAGCAACATTTATCGGAATCTGGCAAAGTTTGGATGACAGCTCCCAGGATTAAACTAGTAAGGTTCTCCCCTGCTTCTCTCTTTTATACACATTGTAGGATCCATTTTTGATTGCTCTAAGCATCTGGATCTTTTGACGAACTGGTTTGATAGTGATGGTTAACAAAACAGACATTCATTCATATACAAACTGAGGAATAATATTTATATCTGAATTGCACATAGGGAGCTCTCTTATTCAGGTAAAATTATTTGCCCAGTTGACCCAGTATTTCTATTTTCATTGAGAATGATTCTCCAAGGTTTTACATTACTTGGGCTTTTAAATGGAGATGCTAAGGATGGAACCTAGGACCTTCTGTATGCTCAACATGTGTTCCTACCCTGGAACTATGGCCCTCCCTTAGACAACACATCTTATTCAGTCCAATGGAAACCGCAGAGGAAAAACTGCCGGCAGCTTGGGAGAGCTGGAATCTTTGCAAAGGGAATTAAACGCTGCCTTTACAAGAAGAAATTTTTCAGTCAGTGAGCCCTGGGCACCCCAGCCTATTATTACGCATTTTAAAGGTGCACTCTCCATTCCAAAGGGTGGTTCAACTGACCTTTTAGTTTTAAAACAGACAAAATAAAAAGAAAAAATCATTAGGAAATAGGAACAGATGAAATTAAGATTTCAAGTATGACTAATAAATACCACACGAAGAAACACCGTGTGCTTGTTGCTGAACGTATTCCAATCTATGCCCTTGATCTGAAAAACAGTTTGCACTTCTGGTTCAGAATTCCCCATAACTACATTTCACACACCGTCAGCCTATTTATTTAGAAAATAGAAATAGACCTGGTGGCAGAAAGGAGAGGGGTCATCCCCTTTCAAAACACACACACATTTCAAATGGTATCTTGAGCACTGCATATGTATGATCTGTATGGCACCAGCTCCAAATTCAGGAACAGCCCATGATAACACTTGCTATAAAGCTGTGCCACCATGTGAAGATTTATTTGATCAGACAGCCATATGGAGTGTCACTGCTTCTGCCAAAGACTCTGCTGAGCACTGCCTGATCTCACAGCTTGAGAAATGCTAGCTAGACTAGTATCCAAGTCTTGTGCATGCAAAAAGCTGCACTAGGAGTATTACTCCTATAAGTTTCCAACTGCCATTAATGTAGTTTAATGCATACCATTTTGACATTTTATGCTGATTCAAGGAAGTGCTGTTTATTCAGAGCTAACATGATATGTGATCTCTTACAGATGTGCAGGCTACAACTCCCATCTCTAGTCAGTATAGCTAATGTCCAGGCATTTTGGGAGCTATAGTGCAAAGCATGTGGAGGGCTACATATGAGGCAAACCTGATACAATGGTTTACAGAATTCTAATTCCTACTCAATTGATGGAGATTTCAAGCTAGGTGCAAAGCCTTGCAGTGTGGCTATGATGTGAGGAAACAGAAAGGGAGGCAGACAAATATACATTCTCCTTAAAGTTTGAGAGGAAGAAAGACACAAATATAATATGAGGTTATAACTGGATCGCTGTCAGAAGTAACTTTTTTTTTGGGGGGGTGCAGGTAAGATCGATCTGTTTTGGTTCTGTTCCAGCATGTGCAATCGCTGGGATCAAACCAAAGTAGATGGCTTAAGCTATCATTTTGCTTAAGCTCTTTCACAATATTGGAAAACTGAAAGCTTCCTTCAGCTCCCTGAAGAGGGAGAGAGGATGCAAAGGGGTTTTTAAAAGCCTCTGCAAGACAGTGATGAATTGCCAATAAAGTGTTATACCACTTAGAAATAATATTAAAAAGTTGAAAGCTACTTCACACTTGAGGTGCAGTGTGGTTTACTGACCCAAAATCAACTAATCCTTGCATGTAAATTCAGAGGTTACTTACCTGTAACTCTGGTTCTTTGAGTGGTCATCTGTGAATTCACACTAATGGGTTTAATCTGCACCTGCACAGAAGTCTCTGGAATATTCTAGAGCTCAAACATGCATTTGCTAGGACCACCCCCCCAGTAGATGTGGTCTGTCCGTCGAGGTGATTACCTCAGTTCCCCAAAAGCCCGCCGCTGCCTGAAGAATGAGACAGACATGATGGACATAGGGAAGGACAGGCGGGAAGTGTAAATTCACTCTGTGAGAGATCTGAGGCACTGAAGATGGTTTAGCCCAAGACTGCTTAATAAGCTTGAGTAGTGACGGGATTAACCTCATATGAAGTGGGGGTGTCTGATCCTCACAGACATCCTCATATACTTTGTCAGATTCAGATTGGGTTGGTTGCTGGACATCAAGGTTCATGGCCATGGCAATACGGAGAATTAACTGAGAATAGGAGGAGAAATCCTCCAATGATGATGGAGGGTTAGCACCAGCTACATCGGAATCAGGAGTCGGAAGATGGGGGGGGTGATTCTTGTAACACCATGGAAACAGAGGACTCTGAGTCCGAAGAATGCGCTGGTGAAGGCAATCTTGCTGATATGAAGAGGTAGATGCATCAGGAGAGGCGTCCGGCCAGTGGCACTTAAGAGCCCCGGTACCACACTTACCTGGTATCCATTGGGCAGAGATGTCTGGCTTCCGTTTTTGAGGGTTTTTTGAGTCCATGGCACCGGGTGGTGGTCCAGTGTAAGCCATGGTGACTTGTAAGGATGAACAGTCCCGAGAAAGGGCAGCCATATTAGCCGGTGGTATAGAAGGCTTTTATTATGGAGAAAGCCAGAAAGTTCCAGAAAAACATATACTTCTGTTTCATTGACTATGCAAAAGCCTTCGACTGCGTGGACCACAGCAAACTATGGCAAGTCCTTAAAGAAATGGGCGTGCCTGACCACCTTATCTATATCCTGAGAAACCTATACGTGGGACAGGAAGCAACAGTTAGAACTGGATATGGAACAACTGATTGGTTCAAAATTGGGAAAGGAGTACAACAAGGCTGTATATTGTCTCCCTGCTTATTTAACTTATATGCAGAATACATCATGCGAAAGGCTGGACTGGAGGAATCCCAAGCCGGAAGAAATATCAACAACCTCCAATATGCAAATGATACCACTCTGATGGCAGAAAGTGAGGAGGAATTAAAGAACTTTTTAATGAGGGTGAAAGAGGAGAGTGCAAAAAACGGTCTGAAGCTCAACATCAAAAAAACCAAGATCATGGCCACTGGTCCCATCGCCTCCTGGCAAACAGAAGGGGAAGAAATGGAGGCAGTGACAGATTTTACCTTCTTGGGCTCCATGATCACTGCAGATGGTGACAGCAGCCACAAAATTAAAAGACACCTGCTTCTCAGGAGGAAAGTGACGACAAACCTTGACAGCATCTTAAAAAAGCAGAGACATCACCTTGCCAACAAAAGTCCACATAGTCAAAGCGGTGGTTTTTCCTGTAGTGATGTATGGAAGTGAGAGCTGGACCATAAAGAAAGCTGACCGCCAAAGAACTGATGCTTTTGAATTGTGGTGCTGGAGGAGGCTCTTGAGAGTCCCCTGGACTGCAAGGAGAACAAACCTATCCACTCTAAAGGAGATCAACCCTGAGTGCTAACTGGAAGGACAGATCCTGAAGCTGAGGCTCCAATACTTTGGCCATCTCATGAGAAGAGAAGACTCCTTAAAAAAGACCTTAATGTTAGGAAAATGTGAAGGCAAGAGGAGAAGGGAACGACAGAGGATGAGATGGTTGGACAGTGTCATCGAAGTAACCAACATGAATTTGACACAACTCCGGGAGGCAGTGGAAGATAGGAGGGCCTGACGTGCTCTGGTCCATGGGGTCACGAAGACTCGGACACGACTAACTGACTAAACAACAACAACAATAGAAGGGTTGGCCGATAATTTTGGCTTTTTCGGTATCGAAGTCGATGGAACCGGGGCAGCTGAGGAGTGCTGTTTATGAGTTTTCTTATGGGGCTTTGGTACCGAAGCAGGAGAAATGCTCCCATCGTCCGACGACTGGCCATAGTAGTAGCCTGAATGGTATCAAGGTGGTGAGAGGGATTCCAAAGAGTCTGAAGGATAATAGTATGCGTACCGAAAATGCTTGGGTTTGACGTAACGTTCGGTATCATGCTACCAATACCAGCGCGGACGATGTCGATACCGCTTAGGTGGTGGTTCAGAGTAGCCAGGAGGCTCATAAATTGTTACTTGTTTGGGCTGATGATGTCGAGCACAAGAGCTTGGCAATACCAGCAGTCCCGAATGATTCAGAGGCTGTGAGAGAACGTTATCGGAATGGCCGATGTCCTCAATGTGGTAGAGTTTAGCTTTTTTCTTCCTCAATGGAACTGAATCAGCAGGAACAGATATCGATCCAGACACAGAGCAACCCAGAAATTTGAGGCTCAAACAGGCCAAATAAGGCAGTACAGTCACCTCAGCAGAGGTATCTGCCCAAGATGAAAATTGAGCCAGCAAAGGAGAGGGCGGTTGGCCAGATGGAGGTGGAATGCATTTTCGGTCGGTGTCGAGATCAATAGGTGGTTGACTTTGTACAGAAGGATACTGTACCAGCGGTTGAGGGTCTACAGAAGACTTTTTAACCTTCTTTGGTTTGGTACCAATCAGTTTTGCAGTAGTTTTCAGCATCGGGATTAATTGAGACATTGATCCAGAAGACTTTGGGCTTAGAGTTAGGCGACTGTAATGGTGAATTAGTGACCGAAGAAACTGGTAGGGGTTGTGAGGTCTGAGTGTCATCCATCTTTGATGGTGGAGAAGAGATTGCTCCCACAGGAAAGATGTAAGATGCTGTTGACGGCATCTGATGGCTTGCTTAGTAAAGTTTTTGCAATAGGAGCAAGAAGCTGGCTGATGTGATTCTCCCAAACAGAAAATACAAGAATCATGGCCATCAGAAACAGGCAACTTATTAGTGAACAAAGTGCACCTCTTAAACGGCCCTGTCTGGACCATAAAAGGCGGGAATGAAGGGTTAAAAAAAAGGGAGAGGGAAGGAAATAAAACAACAGGAAATCCAAAGGGAGGAAAGTATTACAGAACAGTATTTAGATAAAAACAATGAATTATGCTTTCTCAGGAAAAAGAACCAATCTGCACGAATGGAGAGCTCAGGAGAGATGAGACCTCAGCGGCAGCAAAAAGGAACTGAGATAATCACCTTGATGGGTGGACCACGTGTACTGGGGTGGTGGTCCTAGCGAATGCAAGTTTCAGCTCTAGAATATTCTGGAGACTTCTGCACAGGTGCAGATTAAACCCATTAGTGTGCATTCACAGAGATCACGAAGAAGCAGCAAGGATTGCCCCAAATGGCATACCACACCTCAAAGCGATACTACTTAATATGATCTAGCATGATCCCACCCTGAACAATTAGCCCTCTAATTGCAACCTCAGTAGTTAACTTTCACTTGAGGTGAGTACAATTTATCTTCCAGATTAGGCCTAAGTAAAATATTGTGGCACTAGAAATTGGCTTTGCATTGATGCCAGGAAATTGGACAATTTAGCTTTGCATGATGATTTGGATCTTGGGTAGGAATTTCCAACCCAACTAAGAGATGGTATGATTTGAATCTGGGACCATCTTCATGTCCAAGCCACGTGCTGCACTACTATATTACAGCTACCCCTCATGCAATACAGAGTCCAAAACCAGATGTTATTATTAGTAGGCTGGTGCAAAATTGTGGTAATGCTTCCTGTGATAAAAAATGCTGCTGAGCAACTAGTGAGAAGAGATCATTATCTGGTCAGCAGCTACATATTGCTCTGAAGTTTTGTTTCAGGAGCTGTGCATTTTGTTAAAGAGAAAAACAAGATGGTACATTTACCATTGCTAGGAGTTGTTCCTTAAAAACAATGAAATAAAACAAAACATCAGTCTCTTCATCATTTCAAGCCTCATTAATGTAAACACATACACACATGGACGCACACGCACACACACGCACATTTAAATAGGGCATATAACATAAAACAGTGTATGCACTGGTGCAAACCAGCAAGTTGGTAGAACACCAAGCCTCCAAATACATCACGTTGCAATGTAAAAAAGATTTTCTGGACATGTGAGCTCCCAATCACCTCCATTTATAAGTGTAATTCTATGGGTATGCAAAACATGCAGACGTTCCCTTCCATAGAAGTGGAGCAGGAAGCTGTATCACAGCATATGTTTCCCAAAGAGATCCACATTCCCCAAAATAGATGGATAAGGAGCAAAAGTGCTAACAAGTACCCAACTACACTGCAAGCTGTATCACTCAAATTCATGGTATGTGCCAGAGTCTGGGAAAGTTAGGATGGGTTAAGGATTAGACTAGGACTGCTAGAGTCTTCCTTAACTAATCTGGGAGATTCTGGAAGTTGTAGTCCAGAAAACCAAACCTTCCAGGCTCTATTCACACTGTTTCAATAGCAGAACTGGTGCTGATGTTTGCTTGTTAAATACAACAAAGCTGTTCGGACACTGATGCTGCCTAAGAAAAAATAAACACCTACTTTTAACTTAAGTGAAATCATCGTCTGTTTAAGCTGTATCTCTCCATGCCACAAATCCAGGCTGTCGGTCAAGTAAGGCTTAATCTGACCCACCATAAACCATTTGAACTCCAAGATTCCAATCCAACAAATCTGCTATCGATCCTAACACATGAATTATATGCTACTGTATTGTAAGTGGGTCTTACTTTCTCAGTAAAGATGCTAAAAAGTACAACTTTAATATTTCAGTCAGTAATGCTGCTATTCTTGAGTAAGCATCATGATAGCTACCTCAAAATTGCAGTCAGTACTTTTCGGTGTCCCAAAACAAAGAGACAGACAGACATCCTTCTTGAAAAACTAAATGAATTTTCCTATGAATGTAGTTTTTAATACGGGCAGTATGAATAAAATAATTATGTATACACCCTGCAGATGTATACATGTAAAACAAATCCACATGTGTAGAGACACAGTCAGAGGTATAGTCTACCCACTAATTGTGCCAGGCCCCACTGAAATGACAGCTTGCTCACCTGTGTGGGAACTCTACCTTAGCTTCCATATCTTCTAAAGGAAATGTTCCACAAATTCCTGGTAAGACTGTACCTCAAGTCACTAACCTGCATTTGTTCTCTGAAAGCATTACTGTAAATTTGAGCCTCAGTGTTGGAGTCAAACCTCTGAACATGAGCCATCCCTGGGCCTAACCTTTCTAACAGAATGTAAACTAGCCTGGATCCAGACTACCTGGTTCTCTGTTTCTAAGCAGCAATGCTGAGAGAAACCTTTCAGGGCAACCATTTGTGAAAAAGTCATTGAGGTGATTATTTGGTTTTAGGCTTCTTCAGTATGACAGGGTTTTTTGTTGTTGTTTGGTTGGTTTTTTTCCTTTAATTTTTATCTCACTCTAAAGAGGAGATGCAGGTATTTAAAGCTGTGCAGGTCCCCTTACCTTTCTTTCCCACTCAAGTGTAAACACTTGAACATAAGTAGAGATTGGAAATGTCTATTTTTTTGGACAATATCTCCCGGTAGAGTTGGATTTTGCATGTTTTAGTTATAAAAAAAGTTTTCCTCCTCTAAGGAGAAGCAGCATTCATTGGTGGCCTCCCTTGCCTTAGCCAGAGATGGCTCCTGAGTATGACATTAGAGGAGAGATGAACAAGCTTCACTTTGCAATTAAAGTGGAAATATTAGATGCAAGCATCAAATGTGTTTTTCCTTTCAGCATATGGATTGGTGCTTGATAAAATCTGTGTGTCCTGTGTTTAAAACCCTGTTGCTACATTTGCGAACATCTCATGGTAAGATAGAAGCAGGTGGAAAGAAGGATTTAATATAAGGGAACAGTGCAAAATGAAGAAATTAAGAATGCATACAGAAAGAGACAGAAAGAACCCTAAGATTCTTATCTTTTTCTTCAATGTACAAGATCCGTGGCAGATTGAGGCAGAATGAGACATAATGGCCGGAATCCTACAGGTGTTCTTGTATGGTTTGCATAGCTTACACAGCTCATTGCGGGTAACTGAGAAGGCACCAGGGCATATTTTGTTTGTGCAATTAGGCAGGCTAGCCATTTAACCACAATGTACCCCAGCACCTTGTGAATTAGCCATGCAAGTTGTACAGACCGTGAGAACACCAACAGGACTCTGGGCAATACACATTCAGACCCTGTGCTTCTGAAGGCTTATGGAAAACACCCAGTCCTGAAACAGATGGCTTGAAGCAAAATATTATTTCTTGAGAACCGCTACCCCCACAGAACAAGAGTTAGCAGGATGTGGGTAGAGTGTGAGAGATTAGTTCAGTTTTACATTGAGAAACTGAGCTTTCTGCACCAACGACTGGAGGGTCAACTTTCAGCTGAAAGCTGGGAGCCAATTCCAGGTTCTAAGGGAAAATAGATTTCCTTTAGTCCAGCCAGTAAAACAGTTGCTAAGTACTAACAACTGACCCTTTTAAATGAATGCTTCTTTCTGCCAGAAATCAATTCTGGCATATTACATCAAACTTTCTACACACTTAAAAAAATAAAAATAAAATAAACTACATCCATTTTCTAAGACCAGGACTTCAAAAACGGTCTTGTAGGAAACCAAGACTCTGGCATAGAGGAGATGCTCACTACTGCAAGTGTGCAGCAGTAATGTAGCAATACTCTCTCTAGCGCATAAAAGGCAAGAAAAACTGAGGAAAAGGGCAAATATTACCATGAAACAAGGTACACAATCTAACATAAAACCTGCCTATATTTTGGGGTGAGTGCAGGATGTGGTATCTGCCAAACATATCCTTTCCTAGCCATCACAACCTGATAGACTATGTTTTCCTGTTACACTTTTTTTTAGTAAAAATAAAATGTTTCTTTCTTATAAACAATTTTAAAAAAACATTCTGAATTGGGACTGATCAATGCATTGATTTGTAGACTAGGAGAATAATAATTTATGTAGTAGGAGTTTCTTCCAGTGCCATTGCAATTAAATGCAATGAATTAAGAATGACATTCTTCCCAGATTTCTGCCCTATTAGTTATTGGAGTGTGTGCAATTTTGCTCATCAAAGTTGATGCCAAAGAGAGAACAGCTAGTTTTTTTTTAAAGCTTGTGCATGATCCTGTGATTTGTTATTCAGAACTATTGCTTACACTATAACTCACACTGTCCAGTAAACTACACAGTAAACCTACATTTCCTCAGAAGCAAGTCACACAGAGTATGATGGAACTTAACTCTCAGACAAGTGGATACAAAGGAAAAACTAGACACAAATGTGAGTGGGCATATGTACAGCAATCAATCCTTCTGAGAACAAACACTGAAAAGATTTTAAAATGCATTATGCCAATGATAGTTCATTTCTATGAAACAAGATTTTTTAACATAATGCCCAAATTCATGATCTTGCCACAAAGCCGGTTGGTAATATTTTAGCAGGTTGAGTCTATAAGAATATGAAATTTGGAAGAAATGTCCCAGTGGAAAACAAAATTACAAATTGCAGTCTACTGGAGAAAAGAAACTTGGTCAATTTCAGGCCACGCTCTGTTCCCTCCATTACATTGATGAAGCAGAGAACTTGACTGCCCCCCCAAATCCATCTTGCCTGTTCTCTGCCCTTCCCCCCAATATGTCCCAATGTGCTTTATAAAAAGAAGCTCATAGAAGTTTATGGCAGTGTTTCCTCGGGACCTTCCACAGAGATTCAGGCCAAGCTCCATGGCTACCGAGTCTTCACAAAGTTAAGAACAGATCCTTCAAGGGAGGCAGTGCTGGTTCAGTCCGTTTCTGAAAGCAACATACATGTGTGTCACAATCTGTTTTTCATCATATGGAAGAATCAGCCAGCAGAAAGTCCAAAAGTGAATTCAAAACACATGCATGCACAAAAGGTCACCATGACCTCAGCTACTCTGGAAGGGGAGCGGGAGAGAAAGAAAGAAATGTTATGAATTGTGCAGCTCACCGCCTCAAGACCCAAGAAACCTAAGTATATGCAAGTAAATCTGCTGATATTCATTCTTGCCTCTTCTTTTCTTACTACTGTTTCCTTTTTTAGTTGAAATGTTTTCATTTGTGGTGTTGCACATTATTTTATGTATGTTTATATCTGTTTTGTGGTGCTTGTAACCATTTAAACTAATTATTTTAATAGTAATCTATGTTTAATAGTTTTTTACATGTAGTAATTTATCATGTTAGTCTTTTAATAATTTGGGAGCCATCTTGGGACCTATATTTGGAAGAAACTATGAAACTAAATGAGAAATTAAATTAAACTCATAATCATCTACATGGTGGTCACCAAAGATCTAAAGCCACTGAATAAAACGTGAAGGCTGCAATCCTAATGGTGGTTGTGTAAGGTCTGCATATCTTGCTGTGGTTAAATGCAACAGTAATACAATCTGGCGCATAACCAACACATGCCTTGGCACTTCATCAGTTAGCCGCAATTAGTTGCACCAAATTATCCAAACCTGACATAGACACCAGTAGGATTATGACCACAGATTTTGCATGTGCTATGTTTAATATCTATCCCTTATTTTTGTTGTTAATTAAAGCTAAATCTGTTATATAGTCATTTTCTTTATAAGTAAGCATCAGTGGAAAATGAAGAAGGGGCACTGCAAAATATAGACGGGGTTTCATTCAGAATCTGCCTTCTGCTATTGAATTGGTCCATTTGGAGATTTGGATCTTTCCCTTTTCTCCAAAGCACTGCTCACTGCATTCAGTAAAATCTCCTTACCTTCTGCATAACATTTCCAGGGGCCTGGAGGGACTACTATAGGAAGGAGGGAAATGGGAGAACTTGCTTCTATCAAGTCAGCTGCTGGCTGAGGTTTGGGTCAAGTCCACCTTATATGAATGAATGAATTTATGAATGAATTGGCCTTTTCTGAATATTCCAGATTCCCTTTCTGTACTACACCTACCAGAATTCCAGACCACTGGCTATGTAGGTTGAAGCTTATGGAAATTAAATCTCGAAAACTGAGAATGTGGCACTTTGAGGAAGGCTAATATAAACCTTCAAAAAGAATCTGAAGAAAAATTGTGGTTCACATTGGTCTATAGTAAATTCCCAGTAATTGATAAAAATTATTCTAATTTCTTTTAAAGGAAAACCATCTCTACCCATTTTATTTTGTCTTCATACAATGAATTAATGAATTAATCAACCCATCTCTGCTAGATAGCACTTTTTATCACACCAGTCTTTCAAAATGGGTTGGTTTTAAGATCTCCAGTGTTTTAGATACAGTATCTTATCAGCAGCAAATATATGGCACAAACATAAGAGTACTAGTCTTGGGCTCCCCTAAATAAAATGCAAACTATCAAAAATATACCAGCCTATAGGAATTTCATATCCTAAAATCTTTTCTGAATTCCATTCTTCATCAGTATGTTTTAGCTAAAGAACATTGCCAGTTTCGCCATACTATTCAGTCACTCTCCCCACATTTTAATGCTTGCATGTGGGGTGGGGGAGGGAGAATGAAGCTATATACCTGAATCCCACCATTGCTATCACATTCTCTCCCACACCCCCATCTATGCACGGAAAGGAAATTTCTAAAGAGCTATTTTATGTTTGTGGTCTGCCCCGTAATAATGTGGGAAGCACAAGCTTTCACATCACAACTGTGAGATGTCTATGCACATAAAGCAACCTCCCCACTATAGATATTCCCCCTCCCAAATAAACAGTAGGGCTGTGGAGAAGGAAGCAATAGGTAGAATCCACGTCTCCTATCTCATCCTCCATGTGACTTTTAACAGCATGAAGAAAACACCAGACTAGGGCTATAGTTGTGGATGAATAAGGAAGTCAAAGCAGGAATGGCTCTCTACATTTTCACACAGATTAATGGCCTACCAAAAATGCTGATTTCAGATCCTCCCAATGGAGAACATGTGACCATGGGCACCATGGGGAAAGAAGGGAATTTATATTTGAACTAAAAATAATTAGAAAAAATCACTGGATTGAGGAAGGGAATGAAACCTAAGGACACATTAGCAATATTTCTTCATTTGACCCATCCATAAAAAGAAAAAGAAAAAAGGAGAATTTTCCATTTATTCAACAGTTTTCAAGAGCATTGTTGCTGTTATCATTCAAATAACTTTCCTTGACTTAATAAAGAGTGGAAGTCTAAGGAATTGCTTACCAAAATGAACTGCAGGTGGATGACTATCTGTATCTCCCAACTCTGAGCTGCCATCTTGACCTCCAGGCTCCCAGGATTCACTGTTCTCAGAAACCTCAGAAAAAGTGTCAAATGTTCCTTTTTGATTGCTGGCTGGCTCACCAACACCTGAGGACTGATCTTCGCTACCTGTGTCAGATATTGCTCTATTTTCTTCATCTAACCTTTCAGTAAACCACAGCCTGATCTGTGCAATAGTCATTTGAGTTCTCTCACACAAACTTGGGAGATCGTCTTCAAAAAGCACTTTATTCTTCTGGAAATAGTCCAGAAGGATGTCATTGCTGACTTCAGTAGAGGTCACTAGGCCTTTAGGAAAAACACCACGCTTGTAGTTCTCATACCATCTCAAACTTCCATTTTTCAAGCCATAACGACTATCCCCAAACCAGCGAATCACCTCAGCCCTGGGAAGGCCTGTCTGAGAACATATTCGATCATACTCTTCATTCGTAGGCCGCTGGGTTTGCACAAAGAGTTGTTTTAGCAAATGTTTCTGCTGAGCAGTCTTTTTAAAGCTTAGCTTGGGTTTAGGAGGCACAGATGCCCTGTTACGAGAACTGTTTCTTTGAACATCTGCACTCAAGCCCTGCAACTCACTTTTACCATTCGACTCAGTCACCTTAAAGTTTTTAAGGTTGATTTTTATAGGAGTCACTTTGCGTTCACCTGGCACTTGAGAGCTGTTGGCTGCATCCAAGGAACCATTTTCATTTGAAACCCTCAAGTCATCCGAGGAGTCTTCCTCTTCCACCGAGTCATCTTCACCATCATCATCTACTACCTGTTCTGCTTCTTTTGCTGCTTGCCTTTTCCTTCGCTCTGAAAACCATCCATCAATCTCTCTCCTTGTCATTTTGGTTTCACTCCTCAAACGATCCACTTCTTCTTCAAGAGGAAAGGGATTTTGTGCAAAGCTGCCTTCCAAAGCTCTGAGCTGTTCAGGAGCCCTCTCCTTATATTTCGTGGCTGAGAAATCCGGGGTTTGATGCCAGGATTGCCGCCGGGTTGGGGTATGAACAACTGGTGTTGTTGCTGATGTGGACGTTAACTCTGTTGTTATTTTGGGAGAAGAGGTGAAGGTAATTTCAGGCACAGAATCAATGATTATTGCACTTTCTGCAGCATGCATAGCCCTGCCACTTCTTACATTTCTACAATGGTATCGTTTATCGCTAAACCATTTCCGCACATCCCTTGTAGTAAGACCTGTGATTTTTGTCAGCCGTTCAACTTCAGCATGGCCAGGGAACTGATTCCTACAGAAACTATTTTTTAGTGCAGACAACTGTTCATAAGACTTCTTATTCTTGTATATGTTGGGATCTAAGAATGCCTGTGAAGTTATGTTTGGGCAAGCAGTAAGTTGTGTCTGAGCAGCACTGACCACTTTCACAGTTGATGCCATACTAGAAACTGATACAGTGGTTGGTGGCTTAGCCATCTGAGTTTTTGGAGTGGACGTTACTGCTACTGCAAGAGATGAGGCTGCCCCTTGATTTCCATTTGTTATTACTGGTTGGGTGACTAGCACACCACTTGCTCCTTCAGGGTTTCCAACTGAATGGCCTGGCAAACTGGCTTGAATGAGATGATGAACACTACCAGGACTTGTAACCAGAGGTGTATTCAATACTGTAATGGTGGGCTGGGGCACAGATTGAATCACAGTGTTAAACATTTTCTTCCGGGCATCTTCTATCTCCTCAGGTGACCAGCTGATACCCTGTTTCAATCTCTGGGCTGTAAACCAAATCTTCAGCTGTTCTTCTGGGAACTTGGTCACAACAGTCAAATAGCAAAGTTCTGCTTTTGTGGGATACGGGAACTTATTGAAAGAGTTTTTCAGGAAACTGTTGGAGTCCATTGCTGCATTGTACGTTGGGATACTACTCAAAGGAATCATAACCTTCGGAAGGGATTTTGACGTGGGAAGCTGCTGGTGGACTTCTGGTTGCTGCTGCACTTGCACAAGCTGAGGGATGCCTGTCTGCAAAATAGGCATACTTCCGACAACTGAACCATTGACAACATGTGTTGATCTGACTGTGCCTGTTGCTGACTGGCTCACAGGCCCAGATCCATTGGCAAATGGTACTTCCCCACCTTTTGTTTCCAAATTGTTGACTGGTTTACTAGGCACATGTTCTTTCAGCATGTGGATTTTTTTAACTTCTGGTTTTGTTTTCATTATCTTCATAATTGGTGTTTTGGTAATGATGATTTCAGCCTGATTATCCTGACCTTCCTCAGGAAGGTCCCCCAAAATGTCTTCATTGCCACTGTTAGTGCCAATGGTTTGTTTCACAATTGTCTGATTGCTTTGCTTCACCACATTCCAGGTGAAGCTAGTTTCCCCAGCATGGGTTTCTTCATTGTGACAAGTAAGCTCTTTGTAGCTCTTTACCAGGAAGCTGCATTTCACACACACAAAGGAAGGGCCTTTGCTAAAGTCAATGTGCTCAGAATCAAGGTGAGCAAGGAACTGATTAACATCCTGAGAGCCAAAATTGCAATACGTACATTTGTAGGTATCACCATCTATAATACCATTATGTCCATTGGACAATGTCCCACCATTGTGATTACTATTCACAGCATCACTAACAGGCAAAATAGCAGGAATAACAGGGCGCTGGGCTCCTTCATTGTCAGCTGCAACAGAGGTTAGCTGGGACTCCTGCAATGCCAGTGTTTTTGATGGTATCATGCAAGGTGTAGTGGATTTCCTCTTGCTAGCCATTATGGCAACCAATGAAGACAATCCAGGCTTGGGAGCCAAATCTTACTTTTTAAGAATGCTTTGCAAGCCAAATTTCTGGAAATCCATGATATTCACAAGGTGCGTGTCAGGAGATGGGGCATTTACTCTGGTTTGCCATTGAATCTGAAGAAACAAAAAACAGCATGTCAGCAAAAATTACAAATACATCAGGAACAGAGCAGCATGCCTTTTATTGCTCAGCTATGTATTAAAAGTATAGGTGGCCTTCGTTGTGATAACCAGTGTAATGGTTAGTGTGCCAGGCCAGGACCTGGGAAGTTCAGGTTCAAGTCCCCTCTAAGTCATGAAACTCAAAAGGTGAGTTTGAGCCAGTCACACTCTTTCAGTCTCACAGTTTTAGAAAGATAAAATAAAGAGGATGATCTGTAAATGGGTGGGATTTAGGTGTAACTAGTAAATGTATAAATAATTGCTGCCTTGGTATTTTTACTAGAACATGGAAATAAGTTCAAAAGAGGGGGAGTGAAGAATCAGTTCAAAAGGGGGAAGAAAACAGCAGGGAAGGGAAGGGAGGAAAAAAGTGACTAATGGAAGAGCCCCAATAACAATCATAACTGATGAGCCATACTGTATACTATGAATGGGATGCCTTACATAAACATGCACAAATCTGCATCCATATTACTATAGAAAGAGGGTTCTGATAGCCTTGTTTAAGTGCGATTGGGACTATCTTTGCTGCAATTATTAGGGGTTCCAAGAGTTTCTGACAATCTGCAGTCAGAAACCCCTGTTGATATATTGCAAGTCATCTGGCAATTTTTTTCCATCCTTCTCTTGGCATATTGCAAACATATCTTGTGATAGTACTGACATAAGAAGCAGGTTTATTTTAGAACTCAGCTGGAAATTGACACCAGTTTTCCTTGCACTTTTCATTAACACTACTCAATGGAACTAAGGAGTGACTAATAAGTGAGCAACATTTCATAATACAGTTCATACCTGGGTAAGGGTCCAACAGACAGTATGGGATATCTTTAAAGTGGTTTGAAAGTTCAACATTTAAATCATTTGAAGTTTAAAGATTTAAAGTCTACATTTTAATTTTGCCACAAGCATATTAGAATTCTGATTCTTCTCTGCCTGCCAAACCATGACAGCTATTGCCTAGAATCATCCAAGTTGGAAGGGGCCTACAAGGCCACCAGGTCCATCCCCTTGCTCAATGCAGGAATACAATCAAAACATATCTGCCAGGGGATTATCTAAGTTTTTCTTGAATGCCTCCAGTGTTGGAGCACTCATCCACTCCAAGGTAACTGGCTCCACTGTTGTACTGCTCTAACAGTTTGGAAGTTTTTCCTGATATTTTCTGACACTTGATCTATCCAGCCCACACCTAGTTAGCTTGCTCATCAGGATATCATAGGACACTTTGTCAAAAGTTTTGCTGAAGTCAAGATATGCTACGTCTGTGACCTGATCAAAAAATGAGATAAAATTAGTTTGGCAGGATCTGTTCTTGACAAATCCGTGTTGGCTTCTAGTTATTACTGCCTTGTTTTCTAGATGCTTGCACAATGACTGCTTTACGAACTGTTCCAGAATTTTGCCTTTGAGTGATGTCAGGCTGACTGGCCTGTAGTTTCCAGATTCCTCCTTTTTGCCCTTTTTGAAGATAGGGACAACACTGGCCCTCCTCCAGTCCTTTGGCACCTCACCCATTTCCCATTATTTCAAGAAAATAATGGATAACGGTTCTGAGAGTTCTTTAGCCAGTTCCTTCAGTACTCTCGGATGCAGTTCATCCAGCCTTGGAGATTTGAACTCGTTCAAGGTAGTAA